GGGGATTAACCCCAGGGCCTTGCATATGCTAGGCAATCTCCTTCTTTACTGAGCTCTACTTAAACCAAGCCTTTACTCACTCAACTTCATACTCTCTATTCCTTGGCTGAAACACCTAGATCAATGACTGACCTGAGCAAGTAAAAGCTCAGTTAGTTGGCTCCTCTAGTTTACCAGCCTATTTCTGTTCTTACCAGGAGGTCATTTATATTTGTCTTTAAACCTGTTTGTGTCAGTTGTACTCATTATTGTATTTGCGTAATTTAATTACATATTACATAAATTAATGAAATATCTGTGCATAAGGAAAGAGCTGTTGTTTCTGTAAGTTGGGTGTTTTGGAAAGGCTTGGTGAAGATGAGTACATTAAAAGAACTGCCATCACATTTGGGGTGGACCAGGCAACTATAAAAGACCATGGGTGTGGAGAGAAATGTACAGTGTGAAAGATTAATGGCACTACTCCACAAGGGTTAAATTCCTCCAGAGAAATCAAATCTAGAAATTATGGAGGATGCAACATTGGTGCAATTCATCCAAGTAAAAGGATGCAGAATGCCAATATATGAATCTATTAGTCACAAAAAGAGCACCATGAAGCTGTACCTGCCCTTCTTGCACATAATGCACTCTGAATATCTCCCTTCTAAGCAATTCAATTATTTTTTGGGAACTGTTTATGCCCTACCAAAGTGATGTTTGTAACTCACAGTTTGAAAAGCCACTGACTTGATCCCATTCCTCCATTTTATTGATGGAGAACTGAGGTTCAGGGAGATTTAAATCTAACCAGTTGGTTAGATTTGCAGCCTTGTTTCTATATTCTGTGTTTTCTCTACTACCCTGAGCAGCCTTTGCTAAAAAGGAATTGGCCCAATACAATTTCCTATGCAAAAAGAAGAAGGCAAAATGAGGAAGTGGATGACAATAAGGATACACCCTAGCAAGGCAAGAAGCAATCTCTCATTTCATCCCAATGCTCTTCCAAGCAGGTGCTAAAGTGAGCACACACAAGTGTATGTGGTTTTATCCCCGAACTGAGATGGCAAGTCTCTTGCGCTATAGACACATATTTGAAACAGGTAAGCCATGTACTTGGTTGGAACATGTGAGCCTTCTAATTTCAGAACGACTTCAGCCCCACATGGGAAAACTCTAGACAATGGAATAGGGAAGCCATTTGAAGTTCTGAAAGCTTTTGTTAGATGAGATGAGCAATAAGCAGATACCTTGCATGTTGGCTGACCTTACCTGTTTTCCAAACAACTAATGCCTTTCAAGACTTTTCTCTTTAACTTTACCTGCCTACTTCTGTGCGCCCCAGTCCAAACTCCTCATCTCAACAGGGTCCTCACCGGGATCTGCCCATCTCTCCAAGCAAGCTTATGATGGTGACATTCTCACGAATAACTCCACTGTGAATTTTCCATGTCCTTTCATCACCTCTGAGAAGTCTCCCAGACACTAAATTAATCAAACCCTCAAACATGCCCCAATTCCAGATGGGTGTCATTAGACACTAGCAAGAGCAAGGAGGAGTTCAGAGGTCTAGAGAGCTGTCCTGAGTATGCCGGTCATGCCAGGCAGATAGCAGAGGGAAGCTTGGAGCCTGGCTCCCAGGCTCCTGAGCAAGGCTCTCACCACACCCCCTTGGTCATTAGAGTGAGTCTCATGAAAATATGAGAACCAGATGGGCGGCCTGGGAACTGTGCAACATTTCTGAGGGTTAAGCAAGCAGCCACCCAACAATTTTGTAACCAAGGTGCATCCTGTCCCTTTTAAGGGGCATTAAAAAGTGCCTTTTGAAGATAGGTCATAACTCCTTCCTTGGGAGGGTGTGACAGGTGTTCTAAGCTGTGGGTGCTGCCACCTTCACCCTGTCTTCAGCTAATGTTTCTCTCTGTGCTGTACAAACCGACAATCAACCAAAGCAACAGTTTCTGTCCCAAACCTCAAATTATTGATTTCACTACTGTAGCAATTATTTTCTAAGTCACACACTATGCAGTCAGCCGAGGTTGCCCACATCATAAATGATACTCTTGTTATGGGTTTCCATGCAGTCTTGTCACCTGTGGGGTGGCCTCCTCAATGCTGAGGTAGAGAGGTCTGTTTCTGTGTGTGATTCTAGCAACTAGAGGGTTAGAATGTGAATACAAAGTAGCATATAGTTCCAAGAGAATCAGATACAATTGTCCTTCTGAATCCCTGGGAGATTAGTTCCAGGATTCCCCTACAGACACAAAAATTTACAGATGTTCAAGTGCCTTACAGGAAATGGTGTAGTATTTGCATATAGCCTACATACATTCTCTTGTACACTTTAAGCTATGTCTAATTACTTCTATCTAATATGATGTAAGTGATATGTAAATTGTTATACTGTATTGCTTAGGAAATAATGACAGGAAAAAAGTCTGTACATGTCCAATGGAGTTGCAATTTTTTCTCCCAAATGTTTCTAAATTCTCAGATGTGTAACCTGAGAATACAGAAGGTGCTTGGTATGCAGAGGTCACATTACCACTTTCCTATCCTGGGTCCATGGCACTACTTCCTAAATCCTAAAGGCAGCTTTTTAATCACTCCAACACAGCTCTCCAAGTCCTCTCTAGCAATCCATCAGAACAGTCATGTGAAGAATCTTACAGACCATTCCTGAAGCAAGTTCCACAAATGAGGACACTAATCCAAACACAAACATGATGATCAGCTTGCCTGATGACTTGAAAAGACTGAAACCAAATGGGTCTAAAGCCCCATTTCCTTCCACTGTCCCACCCAAAGTAAATGCCTGAGAGGTATTTCCTAACGACAATCCGGTTTCCCATGCTTCTTGCATTATTTACCTTCTATATTTGGGAACATAAGAGAAAGGAAGAAACCAAGCACATATCAACAAGAAAGGCCAAGGACAACTGTCAAATAATATTGTGGTTCTCCATCTCCACCCCCACACACATGCGCAAGAAAGCCACATGGGATCAGCCTCATGTTCCTTCGACCCCATGTAACCTCCTTGAATGGAACATGGAGTTCACCATTTTCTTTCCATGATACTGCTGAATAAGGTTATGGCTTCATCCTGAATATTCCCACAGCCTTCTCACTCCAGTGTTATCACTCAGGCATGGATTGAATCAATATTGTATCCATCATTGCTTGTTATTCTGGTCAACAGAGTGAATGTGCACAGATCTGCATAAATATGGGTAAAGCTCTTACAGTTTCTGTCCTAAAATTACCCAACTTCCTACCATTCAATGGATGGCTGTTTCCAGGGCATGGGAGTTAGGAGGGACTCAGATGTCAAAGTCACTCAGCGTATAAATAAATACATTTTACAAAACCAGCATTCACCTGACAAGGAATAGGAGTAGAAAGCAACCTGGGAAAACATTAAAGGAAGCGCAAATTAAAACTGAGTACCACAAAATTAAAGACAGCGTCATCTACTGTACATATTAAAGGCCGAAGAAGCACTTGGAGATCAGAGTGTTCTAGGAAGGGGGTTGGGGCAATTCTGGAAGAGCATGGTGGAGTCACTAACTGATCCTTCCTTTCTCTCATACATTCATGTCCCAGCCATTTAGGGTGTGGAAGGTGATTCAAAAGGGCAAGAACATCTTCACGGAAAATCTGGTTGACCCTGAACCCCAAAAGCATTGCTTTGGGGTGGGCACATTCACCCTCCCCAAGCATAACATAGAAGAGAGGCCTTTTCTTCTGGGTCATCATAGGCACCCAGGTAGCTTTGATACCTCAATAGTTCAAATGCATCAAGGATAACAGTGCCAAGGGAGGGCTGTGGGGTGGTAGAAGCAGTGGTAGCCAGGGGGCATGGCAGCTTTGTACAGATTTGTAGGGAAAGACCTGTAAGAGTTGAAGAGCAAAGTACCAGGAACAGTGTGTGGCTGGTTAGAGAATTTATGAATATATGGAAACCTGCCTCCTCCCACAGATCTCCCTGAACTACCAGGGAGACATAGCAGTAGAGGATGGGAGCAGAGGCTCGTAAAGCATACCCATGTTAACAAGGGGGCAGCAGGACTTGCAAGCTCAGGTAACACTGCTACCAATCAGCACAGGTCCCTTGGAAAGCAGTCTGGTAGTTCATAGCAAAGGTCACAAATGTATGCATTCCTGCTCCTGGAGAAACACCTTGAGAAATAATCCAAATAAAGAAAAACCTCTAGGCAAGATGATGTAGCATCCTAACTCAAAGAACCAGAGGCACCATAAATATCCTGTGGGGAATGGTTAATTAAATTCCACCTGCCTATTTAATGGGACATTGCAACGGTTTCAAAGGATAGATTTCAGGACTTTTCAGTGATGCGGAAGTGCACAACTCCAACTCCTGGGTTTCAAAAGCAGGAATCAGAATCACCAGAAGTAACCATATAAAAACTTTAACAGCACAGACAAAGGTTATGAGCAAGGTATAAACATAACAACAGTTGCTTCTCTGCACTGCTAGGATGACGAGGGGTCTGCCTCCTAAACTTCCCAAGGTTTCTGAAATGTTGATTTAGGATTTTTAAAGAGAAAAAAAGGAAACTATTACTAAAAATATCAAAACATGAACCAGAAAATAACTAAGCAAGGACCATCAGGCAGAAGCAGACAAGGGGCTGAGAGATCTGATTGCTTTGTGAGCTGATTCAGTGTGGATGGTTCTGAGCTCTTGGGTCCTGAAGGCCTTGTTTTCTAGCATACCTGTCTACATTAGTTCTCTGGACAGCTGAGGGGGGAAGGGAGTGGGTGACCCCTGAGGGAGCCAACACAGCCCCTCTCAGGGCTATAGTTAAGACCTTCCCGTGGGATTCCCTCTGCCAGCCAAGAGAGGATGGAGGGCTCAGGATAGGCAGGTGTGCATGGGCAGGTGCATGTGGGCAGGAGACCCAGCAGGGAGCTCTTCAGGTGAGAGCTCAGACCCCACAGTAGCCACATCTACAAGCCATACTCCATCTTGCACCCCCAAGGGAGGCTAAACTCACCGCTCAGGGGGGATGTGGTGTTCTCTAGGGCTTGGCACACAGCCAACACGATACCTGTTGGGGAAGCAGAGAAAAAAAGGTAAGTGTCTATTCAGCAAATAACTTCCTCAGAGGACTGGAAGGCAGGCCTTTTGAAAGGCAAACATGTGGTAGTTTGACACAGTGCCCCATGGACAAGCCTGGCTACCTCATTTGATGGGCTCAGTGCAAAATGAGAACATGGGACCCCTTATTCAAAAAACAGGAGAAAGTGCCCATGAAAGGCACTCAAATGTGTTTTCCTTCCTGATGCAGTCTCTCTCCACCTGTTATGCTAGCTTTTGCTTTTTAAAAACACTTTATTAATATAGCTTTACAGTGAGGAAATATGTGTAACATATTTACCATTTTAACTGTTTTCACTTACATTGCTGTGACATTAAGTATGTTCACACCATTGTACATGCCATGGTGTTTTCTCTTTGCCATATATGTTAGTGTACTCCTTTGGGCCTGAAGGTACTTGTAGGGTGAGCACAGCCCCTCATAGACAAGGGGGCAGTGACAAAGTGTGCAATTGAGTAAGGAACCCACTGACTGCTGGGTTTTTCCATGGACCCATGCTGCTGGACCCAAGCACTATGACCCAGCTGGGGTGGAGGAAGTCTAGTCAGGTGTCTGTTCTTCCCAAAGACTGACTGCCCTAGTACAAGGTAGAGGAGTGACCCCCAAGGGTCTTGCACATCCATTCCAGATGAGTCAACACCTGGATTGGGGAAGTGGCTAGGCTCACCCCTCTTAAATTTCCCATTGAATATAGTAAGGAGCTGCCAGCCCAAGATGGTGACAGCTATCACCAAGCTCTGCCCTGAAATGCTAGGGGTAGATGCATCTATCCCCAACACTTTTCATATTTAGGCCCCACCAGGGACAGAGCATGCAGGGGCAATGACCACCAGGGGAGGCAGGAGATGGCCGGCAGGCAGGACCACAGGAACGAGGGCTCTTGGCCTTCCATGCATACTCACTGTCCCATGGGATTTCCTTTGCAGGACACAGATCCAAAACTAAAACCACAAGAATGTCAGATCTGCCACTGCACGGCATTAAACCCCAAGATTAGGGCCACTATGAGCATGGGGCTCTGTGTGACCCATAAAGCCACCTCTGCCAACAGATGACCTTGAGTGCCCTCACATTACAGTACTGGAGGTTTCTGGAAACACAGCAGAAAAATTCCAATGAAGAAGGAAACTTTTTTGAGTTCTGCAATTGGCATGAATTAACTTCCCCAAGCTGAAGAGATGAAAGAAGTCCCAGAGGCTATGCAAAGGGGCTGTGCCTTGGGCAGGTAGCCCTAGAAGGTAGATACCCCAAGTTAGCACAGAAAACAAGAAAAGTTCTGTCTGCTACTCCACCATTGCACACGACTCATGCAACCTCCTGAGGGGCTCTTTGCCCCTTTGCACTTAGGTGGACACAGGAGTCCTGTTTCTTAGAGGACAACACACTTGGGACAGAGAAAGCCATCACACTGGCAACTCTGCTTCTGCCTCTGACATGAGAAAGATCCCAAGAGGGTCCCGCAGCTTTGATGCAGGTGTGGCATGAACTTCCCAAGTACTGAGAGGCTGGACCATGTATTTGGACTGCAGCAGGGTGGGGTGGAGTGAGGGCAATGGGAGAGAAAATGCGGAAACTCACTCATCTTTCTTGTGGCCCCACAGATGCTAATTTTGGAAGCAAGGATCTTGGGATCCCCTGGACACACTCCAAAGGGTGAGTCTGTAGTCCATACACCAAGTGTTTGAGGAAAGCATTCCTGATGCAGCCAGGAAAAGTCTTTGTGGTTGTACCCTTGAAGCTGGGGGACAGTCACATTGTGACTTTGCTGGCACTGCCACAAACCACTCTGGGCTCAAATCAGCCAGTGATCTGTAACCATGTCAAAGGACTACACTGGAGAAGCTTTGCATACCTCTGGAGGGGAGTAGGACTGGCCTGTCAGGAACTGGTCCTGACCTAATGAGCTCTCTTTCCACCTCCTTTCCACCTGCACCCTGGCAGACAAAGTAAACACAGTACAGCTCCTGGGCCTCACGTCAGCCTCTGTTGCACAGACAACCCCCATCTCTCCAGAAAGATGAGGGTGTGCTCTGGGGCCAGTCCCCCAGCCTTGGGGAGAGTCGCTTCCCTTCCTGTTCCTCACCTGTAAGCTATCAGCTGCCAAACTCACAAAAGCATTTTGGGTATTAATTAAAATTTGCAAAACCACCATGTTCCATAGATGAAAAAGACTGCATTTTTATTCATAATTTGAGCAGTGTGTGAAGAATACTTCCTTTCCATCCCCTCATCTTCCTAAGGAAAACAGCTTTTGAATGCTCTGGCTTCACTCTGCCTTAGGAGGGCTTGAACCAGGAAGATGGGAGCCAGGCCTCTCTCTTCTCAGGTGTGTGTGTGGGTGCCACTGATCAGGTATGGACTAGTTCCAGACTCAGCAGAGGGTTTTGCATATGTTATCTTACTTTGTCCTAATAACAGTCCATGACACACACATCTCCCAGCTTCCCTACCTTCCCATTCAGCTGGTGCGATACCCAATGTACAGATGAGGAAACTGAGGATTAGACTTTGAAATCTACTCAAGCTCCAATAGCCAAGTTCAGACTCAAGTCTGTCCAACTGCTGTGCCAAGGCAGTGCTGGATCATCATACTACAGTCGGTCATGAAACAGATTCATCAGGTGACCCTTCTGTCTTAAACAACAGGTTCTACAGGCCCAGGGTTTAGGCTTGAACCCTCTCTTCTGGGAACCACAGTTACTGCCTCTTGGGATTTTCCCATTGCCTTTAGTCTCCCCTGTGAGCAAGCTCCACTGAGGGACTGCCTAGTCCCCTTAAACTCTGATCTTGGGCTGCATGGCTGTGCTTGGAAAGCTGGGCTGCACGAAGGCCTTCCAGGAACACATGGCCTTGGCAGATTCTGGGATCATGACATACAAAAGAAAGAGTGGGGAGAGCCCAGCTGCAGGGCCAGCCACAGCCACAGTGCTCAGGGAGACTATTCAGACACAGGTGTGGCTGCAGCCACAGGTTCCTGCCATTGAGTATTAAAACCACCTGCCACTGGCACTCAGAATGGAAGGCAGGCTCTAGGGCCACCCAGCCAGCCTCCCTTGGGGACAGGAATCCCTTTCAGGCTGCTCCTGCCAACATCCCATTTTTGTCTAAATAGCTCCCAAGTGGGAAATCCCGACTGTGGACTTCAAAAAGGAAAAAAAGAATAGAAGGGGGTAGTGTTGAGGGGAAAACCACACATAACGGAAGGAAAAACTTATGAAAGCCTGATTCTCACCCACCCCCAAATTAGGGTAGGAATCCAGGCCTGCCCCAAAGGCAGGACAAGGGTTGCCATGCTTCTAACTCAGCTGTTTAGAACCGAGACAACAGTTTCCAAAAGAAACAACATAATAAGAGAGGCAATCCAATTTATCTGGGAGTTCACAGAGTGGAGTCACCTCAAAACCCACCCACAGATGTGCCGGTGGTAAATACTATTGAGAGAGTCTAGCCAATGTCCCTCTGTGCCCAAGAACAGGGCATCCTCCCTCCAGCCCCTTGCTCCTGCATGGGATTGGCAATTTAGATGGCACCCAGGTTGTGCCCTCAGCGCACACCCTATGTTCTCACCTGGAGACCACCTCTTCTGGGGGCACTCAGCGGTAGTGTCCAGGCCTGGGAGGCGCATCCTTGGCCCCTGGCCACTCCAGCAGAAGTGACCATGTCCTGCTCTAGCTTCTCCTGCAGGCTGTATTTGCTTCTGGGCTCCTGCCTACTCCTCTGGACAGTCAGTGGTTTGCCCAGAATATCAAGACCTTGATGTCTCATCCATATTTGGAGTGAGGGGCGAGGTTCTGGTGATGGGAAGATGTATGGAGGTTTGAGGGAGGGCACAGCTGATCTGTTTGGGTACAGGATACTTTGGGTCTTGAAGAGGTGGTGAGGAAAGGCCTCTAAGTGAAGAAGGATGCAAGCAAGGCAGAGGGGAAGAGTGGGCCAGAGTGGGGCAGGAAAGAGAGATGGTCGTTCAGGGGGCTGCCAGTTTCCTCCCTTCCTTTCCTACCATGCTTGGGGTGGTAGCCATAAGGAACAGTGCCAGGAATTCAGGAAGAGGTGGGCAGTACCTACAGGGATTCTGCAGCTCAGGAACATCTGCAGGGGCACCTGGATGGGCACAAAATGTACAAATGGGTCCCACAGAGCCCAAGGCCTGCCAGTACAGATCCATGGCATCTTCCCTTAGGAATTATATCTCAACACCAGAACTAACTGAAACATTGCAGGATTTCCTCTGCATTAGGAAAAATTATTCAATGTACAATTTTATCAATATTTCTGAATTCAAGAGTTTGGCAGCAGGTGAAAATGCTGGCTTAACGATGAGAACTGATCCAGAAGGATAAAGAGAGCACAGTGCAGATAGGGACAAGATGGGGTGCTGGTACGACCAGGGTGCCAGAAGCCTGTCCCCGAGACTGAACATCTGAATATGTAGAATTCTACATAGATTAGCATATGAGGGCCAGAAGGAGCCATGTGGCATCCCCATAAAAAGAGCCACCACTGGGAAGAGGTGACAGTTCACATTCGGCCCTGCTCCCAGTGATGCCATAACCTGGCTCCAGAGGACAACAGCAAAGCTGCAGAGGAAATTGTGGAGGAACTGGCCAGACAGGATTAGGAGAACTCTGGGGACAGCAAAGAGAGAAGTTTAGAAATAGGTGACATGGGAATGAATCACCATGGGCAGATGGGCTTATGGGACAGAGGGCTCTTCCCGTCACCATTCCAGCCTCTGGAGCACTCTTTCTTCCAAAACACAGGGTAGGCCCTGTGACCCAGGGAGGGAATCTAATAGGGAAATCACTTGAAAAGGCTAATGTCATATTTCAGGTGGCAGGTCCTGATACACAGAGCAAAGAAACCAGTGAAGTAGGGATGGGGCAGCTTTTCATTACAAACCCCCACCAACCAGTGAGGTTCTGATGCTCCCTAACACAGCCATGTCAGTG